AATTGGGTCATAATAAATTTTCCAAAGAAGAGAAGAATATGTTTCACCTTGTTCAATACCTGATTTGATATGAACAGGTGATGTAAGACCATGTGCAGTAATTATTCTTGCTAGTCAGTTTGTATGTAGTTTAGTAATAAGTTAAATTCCTTTAAAAAAAATACCAATTCTTTTGCAAGTGTCTTGCAATCAAGATATATTGATTTTGTCAAAGGCTTTGAACATGTCTTGAAACATTATCCAAGCTTCTTTGTTAAAATGTTTATAATGTTCAATAGTATTGTTAAGGATTTGGATAGAAATATGTGTTGAAGAGTTTTTGGTAGCAGCAAAGTTGAGATTGGAAAGGAGATTATTAGAGTTAATAATATGATCTAGTCTTTGTATAAAGATTTTAGTAAAGCATTTTTTTATTAGTTTTATAATTGAGATTGGGTGGACTTGATTAAGTGTAAAGTCCCATGATGATTTTTTTGGAATAAGAAAATTGTTAGATGTTTTTCAATCAAATGAAATTTTTTGAAGTTGAAGGCATTTGTTGATAAATAATTTAAGAAAGATTTGGCCAATATGGCCTACATATTTAATATGTTCATAGTTTGTTTTAAAAGAATTTGCAGCTTTTTGAAAAGGAAGATTTTGAATAGTATTTTGCCATTCATCATCAGAGATATTGTTAAATAAGTTTTGGTAATGTATTTCAAGTTCAGGATAAGGTTGGTATAGTTGATAGTAATCAGATATAAGTTGAATTTCTTGAAAAAGTTTTTTATTAAAGTATTTGGTAAAGTGGGTATGGATAGCTTGTTTAATATGATCTTCTTCTGTTAATAAAGAGTTATTTGTTAAAAGTTTATCAATATTTATACTATTATATTTTTCAAGAATGTTTTTAAAGAATTTTTTAGGTTGTGATTGGAAAAGTTGATTGCGATCCTCAATTTTTTGTTGGATTTCTTTTTGAGTTTGTTGTTGGTAGAAGGTATTAAGTGCTAATTTAATTTGATTAAATTCTTGTTTAATTAAGAAGTATAAGTTGTTAGAGGTTTTATCAATAAGGTTTTTAGGGTATTTAGTTATGTATTCTTTAAAAAGATTATGAAAGTTGGATGATTGTAGATGGTTTTTAAAATATTGTATTTGCTTATATCTGTAAAAGAGTGCATGTCATTTGGAAGGTTTGTCATTTTTAATTTCCTAAATTGTTTTAATGTTTTTGTAAGGAATGTTTTTTAAAGCAGCTTTGATAAGTGCTTTAAGTATTTTATTCCAAATTATGTTGAGTTCATTTTGATTTGAAATGTTGGATATTTAATTTTGTAATTGGTGTAGACTTTGTGATGTTTGATTTGAGTAATTTTCAATATTTTTTTTTGAACAGGATTTCCAAAGAAAGATTTCCTAGTATGTTGTTTAGAGCGTTTTTTTTGTTGATAGTTATAAAAATTTCAAGAGTAATAATTTTTATAATCTGATTTAGAAGAGATATCCTCAAGAATATTAGTGTATTTAATTTGTAATATATTTAAGTTTGTCCATATTTAGTCAATTCTGCTTTTAGAAGTTGAGCGAAAAAATGTAAAATTTAATGTTATAGGGAAGAAAAATCGATATATATCTTTAAATTAATGACTAATTAGATATTTGAGAATTTGAGATTCTGGAATAGAAGTATTTTTTGAAGGATTTCTATCTTTGCAAGGGTTTGGAACACTGTTGAAATCACTAAGTATTATGAGTTAATAGTAAGAATTGTTACAATATAGAATAATTTGTTCTTGAATTTTGGCACATAATTATTTTTTCTCTGAAGTAGGAAGGTAAATTTGAAGAATACAAATAGATTTGTGTTTAAAATATAGATCTAAGCCAATTATATAATCATTATGATTGTGTGTTTTGCAATGTATTTGGAGATTCTTTTGTATATAAAAATTCCATCATCTGCTTGGTGAAGATTTTCATAGGAACTTCAAAAGCTGTTATGATTTTGAAGGTTTTGATTAAAGAATTTTTCTTCTTTAGAACTAAGATGTGTTTCTGATAATTCAAAGATATCAAAGTTATATTGATTAATAATATCAATAAGTAAGCTCTTTTTTGAATATTGAAATAAGCTATTAATATTTAAAGAATCAATTTTTATAGGAATTGAAATTGTAGGTATGAGAGATGTTTGAAGAAAATGAATATTATTAGTTAAAGTAGTATCAAATAGATGTAATATAGAAGAGATAGGATTTGTGATATTGAGGTTGTTAGTATTAAAGAAATCAGAGTCTGTTAATATATTAGGAACTGAAAATTGTTGATATGATTTGATAGGTAAGTTATAGTATTGATAATAAAAAGATTTAGAAAAAAGTATATAATTTAGTATTATAGTATTGTTTAAGTTTTTATAAACATGTGTTTCAGTAAGTGTAGTATTGATAGAGATTTTAAATGGTTTATTGAATAGATTATTTTTTAGATGTTGAAGGAAATTTAAAAGTGTTTGATTAGGTAATAGAGTTGGAAGATTATAGTAGATTAGGAAGATATTGTAACAAAAAGGATCCTTGAAGTTAGGAGAGGAATTGGAGTTCAAGGATGGGTATTGGATTTCTGCAAAGTTGCTCACCATTTTAAGCTCAACTCGCACAGCTGTGAAAGATACTGTAGTCTTTCTTGTATGTTGGGCCTGACCATCATAATCCCAGTCTTCCGCGTATCATTATTATTGTTATGACAATCATAAAATGATCATAATGATACAAAAATAGCTTTTTTTATTATACAGATCATGCCGAATTAATAACTTAACTGGATCGGCTGAAAAATCATTCAGCAAATTTTTACAGATGTTTCAGGAATTATGATAATAGCTGTAATACACTAGCTTTACTTAAAAAATTCAAATATGATATATAAATCCGGATTTTACTATATTATATTATATTATATAATAGGAATGTTAAATGGTTTAATTGAAACTAGTTTAACCGGATCTGAAACTAAACTATTATCATTTGTGACCAAACTAGTTAAATAACCTAGTTTTTCATGTGAAATCATAATCATCAAATCAAAGTAGTTAATGACAAATCGAAAATAAAATTTCTATATATAGTTAATGTAATATCAATATTATATATGTATGTATTACAGTATTACCATTACTGATCTTTAGCTGTGATATTACTTAACAATCTTTGGCCATTGTAGAATAAACAAAATATTAATTTGTAATTCTTTTTTTGGATTGATAAAATAACTATTTGAAATTATAGTTCTGAAGAAAAATATTGTAATAATTATATAATAGAAGCCTTGAATTTATATAAATTATGATAAATATGCAATAATAATATAATAAAAATATAAAATTTAATTCTCTTGATTAATTATAAATAACAATACAATATTAAAAATGAATACCAAAAATTCAATAATTATAAAATATGATAAAACAAATACTGATAATGAATTATCATCAAGACTTATAAAAAAGAATAAATTACATTATCTAGTATGGAATTATTTTTCATGAAATACAAATGATACTATTATCTGTGATATATGCAAACAACTATATAGCATTGATTCAGGTGTTAGTACAATTAAAGGACATTTCATGAAACATCATAAAAATGAATAGGAACAAATTAAACAAATTACCGCTCCTATTAAATCAACAGAAATAATAATAGATACAAATAAAATTGTTGCTATACTTTTATGATAGATCATATATAATTAACAGCCATTTTTTGTCATAGAAAATGAAGAATTTAATGACCTAGTTGTGATATTAAATCCTTAATATAAGCTCCCAAGTTGACAAACTATTTCTATAAAGATACAAGAGCTTTATAAAAAACAACATAAAAATCTTAAAAATTATTTTAAAAATCATGATAGTAAAGTAGCTCTTACTACTAATATATGGACAGCATGTACACATCAAGTATATATGTCAATAACTCTTCATTGAATTGATAATGAATGGAAAATGTATTGTATATTATTAGATTTAGTACCTTTTCATGAAAGACACATGGGCAAAACAATAGCAAATACTGTTTATAATACTATTAATTATTTTGATCTTGGGAAAAAAATTATATCTGTAACTACAGATAATGCTTCAAACATGGATGTATTTAGACATGAATTTGAATAGTTACTTTTTGAAAATCATGGAAATATACTATTTCATCATGTTAGATGTGTTACACATATTTTAAATCTAATAGTTAAAGATAGTCTTGACAAAGTTGGACTATCAATCAAAAAAGTTAGAGAATTTACATCTTTTATATGTTTATTACAAGTATTATTTGAAGAATTAAAATAAATATTTGAAATAAAACAACATCTTTATCTAGTTCCTGAATCTGATGTTAGTACACATTGGAATTCAACATATACCATGATAGAAAAATTATATAAGATTTGAGATATTACCAATATTTTAGTTATATCAAATCCGTCACTCAGAAATATGTATCCAACTGATGATAATTGGAAGGAACTTGACATGATTGTTGAATTACTTGAACCAATTTATCATGCTACTAATCTACTTTTCTTATCAAGTTATCTAACTCTTGGAGATCTTCATATAGTATTTTCTGTTATTATATGTACAATAAATGAAGTTCAAAACAAAAATAGTACACTTCAACAAATTACACAAAAAATGAAAACAAAATTAAAAAAGTATTGGGATGAACTCAAAGAAACATTTTACGAATCTGTGGTTCTCGATCCAAACAACAAGTTGATATAATTCAAAAATGACAAATATAAAGTGCATGATACAACTTTTATAACTTTTTTTTTTTTTAAATATTAATGATGAGACCATGCCTTTATCTTTATTGAATATTCAATTGAGATTTTACATAAAGTACAAGTCTACTTTTAAAATATTATAGAAAAAATAAAAGCTCAGACTAATTTATCTGTGACCTAAACCAATCGAAGTGGCCAAGGCTTACCTAGATTTGGGTGTTAGTGATAATATATAAGAGATTAGTTTTATATTTAATCTATTGAATATATCAGAAGTTAATTTTAGAATGAATTGAATTAAAAGAAAGAATGTGTGATACAGAAGGGACAGAATTTAATAATGAATTAAAGTTAGGAGGTTGGGTTGTAGATCTTGAAATACAGTAGGGGATTCAGATTTTGTGATAGATTTGTTGATTAAGATAAAGTAAAACTTTATAGAAAGTATAGTAGCTACTTTTTTGAAAGACAAATTTGCAATAGTATTAATGAGTTCATCTGGTATTAAGCCTGTTAGAGTTGAGAAAATTAATGGTACATCAGATCTATTGTGAATAGACATGCTGTGAAGTAGTTTAATTTGGTAATATAAGTTGGTTATAGTATTAGGTGTAGTATTGAGTGTATTTGAGTTAAGAGTATGTTGTAATGAGATATTAATAAGACTAAGTAGTAGTTGGTTAGATGGACAAGTTGTCCAGTAAAGATGTGAACTAGTTTGGTGGCATTGATGACAAGTAAGTGAATATGAAGGATAGTGTTTATGTAGGATATGTAGAACAGGGAGTTTGTCTAATAGAATTTTAATTCTAAAGAATTTGAGAGTAGAGAACTGAAAGCTATGAGAAAAATTTGAGATTTTTTGATTATTGTTAATATAAAGCCAGATGGCTTGCCAGTTAACTTGGTTAAGAATTTTGTGCTATTTTTGA